GGCGAGCGTATTTGTGTACTGGTTTTCGTGCGCCGTATTAATTTCATAATTTTTGTAATATTTTTCTTTGCGAGCATTTTTATTGTGAGGATTGCTGGCTATATTTTGAATTGTATGGAACTGTTTCATCCATGATATAAAAACACAGGTATAGCATTCCCTTAAAGCCCTGGCACACAAAATAACTTAAGGCAGTAAGACTTAGCAGTAAGCGAATTGACCAATCACAGTAGAGGCCGTAAGGCCATAATTTAAGCAGTAGCAAATCCACAACGTTGATTTCCTTACTGCTTACGTTTTACTGCCTTAAGTTTTTGGTATGCCAAGGCCCTTAGCGTAACGTTAGTGATATTTAGAGTAACAGATTTTAGAGAATTATAATAGAGTATCGAAGAGTGGCACGCTCTCTCGTACCTGGCGCCCAACTTTGAGAGTAATTGAGAGTTAGAAAAGCGACGAAGTTGCCCCGTTACTCGTGAGTACGGTCGCAATATGTATGAGAATAATTTATCGAAACCATATAATAAAATTCTATTTAAAAATATTTTGTCATAATATAAATAGAATAATATATGATTAATCATCATTATAAACATGCTAATATGATATGTGACGATATATTATAAAAATAAATAAATTAATACTCTTTATAAATTTAACATTTTAAAGATGCAAATATAATTATTTATTTAAAAAATGAAAGCTAATATATTTCTTGTAAAAATAAGACTATTCACATTATTAATATTAAAATATCAATATTAAAATTTAATTATGAAATTTTTAATAAATGCTCTTTTATGTCTTAAAATGAACACTCACTTGTAACAATGCTGGTCCTATGACAGGAATCAGGAAACCTTGATATAAAAATTCGAGTAACTGTTTTTGTACCATCGGATGTGCTACTTGTGCAACTGCATTGCAGAATTCCAGAGAATTCATGAGTTGTGTAAGTGCAGGTAAGTCATTTACATCATCCGGTGTCAATTGATGCCAATCATCTGTTTCAATGTTAAGTTTCCTTGGAAGTAAAGAATAAAGGCCACTCAATCCTGTAGCCAGCACCTAAGTAAATATAGGCAATACAGTTTATTTACTTTTGTGCACACATTTTTGCAAGCATATTTTATTTCAAAATAACAATAATTGCATCATTTACAGGACATATATTGGAATGATCAGCAATATACAATCCAACTTCATCATTTTTTTTGGAAAGTGACATACACAATAGCATAGCATCACGTGCTTGCTGACCAACACCACCTTCTCGGTGAATATGAGGTATTAATAAATTAAATATAATGAATCTGAAATTATGTGTTAACAATTTTTAAGACTTATATATTCATATAAAGTATTTATTAAGAAAAATAAAATATTACTTATTCTTTCCAGATGCAGTTGGATGAAAAAACAAATCAAGTAATGCCATATTTTGCATTAAGGCAACACATAGCTGATTCAATAGTACTACTAATTTTTTTTCTACTTCTAATGGCATAACATCGTTTGAACATTCTTCTAATAATCGTAGAAGTGGTCTCGTAACTGTTTCATGAGCAAGAAGAGTACCACTATGTGAAACTAATAATTCATAAAGCTTTATTTGCTCCAATCTTACTGCATTATTAAATCTGTAAAAAATTTCTTATGTATTATATATATATATATATAATGCAGTAACTTATATATAAACAGAAATTATGTGATTGAAGTTTGAAGCGTCCGTGAAGCGAAAATTAAAAGTAAGCTTAAACTAAACAGGCAGACTATTGACTATCTCTCGTGTGTCATATGACTGAAAATTTTCTATGTTTATATGTTTGGACCCAAAATCTAAATGCAAAAATAGTATCTAAGACCATTAACAATAAAAAAAATAGTTCGTTAAGATCCTGACAAATTTTCTATGTTTGTCCCTGTGTTCAGTACCAAAATATATCAGAGCGAGAGCAATGTCTAAAACCAATGATGATAGACAATCAATGGATACTAAAAACAATATTACATGAATGATCCTGATTAAATAGAAAAAAACTTCAATGAATTAGCAAAACTATTAATATGAGACTTACTATTATATTAGATGTTGATAATAAGCATGGAATAAAAATACTTAATAAATCGAATTGTTAGTAATGTGTTTTTTTTCTGCTCTTCCAAGATACCTTAAATTATTATCGATTTGGAATCTGTTACGAATGTAAAAGACATAACTAGTTCTTTGCTATTTGTTGAAAAAATTATTATAAATATAAACAAGGAAGTGCATACGCGCATGCGAAGTGAAACAACTACATAAAATAAACTTAAAAAAATTTCTTTTGAAAGTAAATAATATAAAATTGACAAAAAATGTAAGATAATAATATTGTTGCGGGTTTTACAAATCATACAGTAATATTTATATCAATGTAATTAAGAAACAGATAAGAAACATAGATAACTTGAGATTTGATAAAAATCAATTGAAAAGGATGGGATGGAAACAAAAATATGATCAGTTTCAGTTCGTTAAAATTGTGCTTTGTGGCAAAAATCGAAACAAACTTATTGTTAGTGCAATTAAACACAATTAATTAATGAAAATATAAAACTTAAAAAGTGAGGTTAACTTTACACAAAAAAATATACAGAATATTATACATTATGTTATATTATAAGAATTTATATTTTTTAAATATAAGTATATACTGTTTGTAGAGATATACCTTCCTGTATGTATACTCCAATCGTACAATTTAACAAGTAAATTTTCGCTTAATAAATATTCTAAACATGGAGAATGCGTTGCAGTGTTACCCTGTTGATAATGATTATGCGAATTTGAATCCCGTAGCTCTAATATCAATAATGTCACCATTTGATCAATGTGATTAACAACTCCAAGTACATCATCTTGAGTAGGTATCCCTTTAGGAGGCTAAAAAATACACAAATTGATAATTCATAAAGAATATTTTATATATATATATATTATAGGTATCTAATATATATATATATATATTATCTACTAATAAAGGATCTGTTACAACTGTCCAAAACTGATTCAATTCTTAAAACACTTTTTTAATTATAAAAATTTCAAGGAAATGTTCTTTTTTATATAGACCCAATCTCAGATTTAAGGGACTAAAATAATTCCTCCAAATTAATATGTGGATAGGTGTACTTTTAAAATATTACACTTTCTAAAAATCTAAATACACAGTTACAAAGTATGTATTGTATAAGCCATAAACGTTTTGTGTATGTACTACGAGTAAAACTGTAGCATACATTGTTCTGCGTATATAAAAACTCATTCATATTCTTTTCTTTTACACAATATAATATCTAATTCCTAGGTGTTTTTCTTAATTAGAAGTTATTAATATGAAAGGCAGGAAAAAGGATGAAACCTTTGCACCCCACTCCCTGCCTAAACACGTATTATGTACTGAGGTTCCTCCCCTCCCCAACATCACAAGTACGTAAACGTGAATATAGCACATGCGCAATTCACTATATTATAGACATGACAGGTTTCGTAACCTTAATAGCAGTGAACTTTTATGATTAATATCTCGCTTAACAACATTTTTTTCGACAGATTCTTTTGTTTCATGTAAAAAGTATCAAATTTCGTCAAAATTGAAGTAAACGTGGATGTGCTAAACAATATCCATTTTTAGTATTTTTTTCATAAATCTCTGTAATTGAAGATGTAATTTAAGGAAGTTATCTCTTTCATATATATATATATATATATATAATCTAAGAAGAGATATAAATTTCAAAATAATGAAGGATCTAAAAATAGTTCTTACTAAAGAATGCAGAATGATTTCGTATATCTGTTGCGAATGTTTGCAGAAGCTGTCATAACACGCAGACGGATCAGCATCTTTCGGTGGCGAGTCCCTGGATCGCTGTTTGCTGAAGCTCGTTCGCAACGGATTGCTCCGTAGCCAACTCATGATGTTTTTTCACAATATATATCTTCCACAATAATGCAACCAACAAGTTGAAATTATCACATTCGTAACCTCATTATTTTGCGTCTTGGACAAAGTACATTGTCATTGACTCAGATGTAATCAATTTATCGTCAAGAGATCTTTTAATGTCACACATTAAAACGACGCAATAAAAAACAGTGCGATAACGCGAATCACATATTCATCACACAATCCACTGACACATACTTAAAACACAACTACTGCAACGGGCAACCATATACATACCAAATGTGAAGCCAACATCTGTGCGAAAGAGACCATGGATATAAATGGTCGCACAGTGTAGCCAGGTGGTTCGCATGATTATCCCCTAATGTATTTCATTTCCCCCTAAAAATCCCCTAAACTTTCAACTTGATCGTCCTCCTATAGACATCTGTGTTATTCAGCCAATCAAGATAAAGCTGCTTTGTGTTGATTGGCTGAATTCCAATGCGCAATCTCAATCCAATCCGCGTCCACAACCCCAGCGTGACACGGGCTTAAAGAACAAGAAGAAGACCGGAATGTCCGGAATTTAGGATCTGGAATGATCACTTTAGATATCTCTGTGCTACATGGCATTTTTTGGAATTATTTTTGTGATTGGTATAATATTGTTAAAGCGGCAAGTTTAATTTATAACAATGAAAAACGAATACTTTAGTAACTATAAGCGCTATTATGAAAGTTATTTTTATTTCCTTGTATGGCCGTGCGCTATCATTTATTCTGTATATCAATTTTATTTGGCAAACAATTGTAAGACTAAAGAGAAAGAGAGTATAGCTAAACTGTTATGATGTGTTAATGATTTCAATCATATATGATTTGTTTTCAGTTTTCAATGACTATTATGATACATACAATGATTTTGATTCAGGCTGGACTTGGATTGGAAAGAAACGAGATACTTCTGACCAAGAGTGGCTTATATGGCTTACATTAGCAAATAGATTGATACCATGTGTTTTTATACATCATTTTGTCAGTCAAATTATTAAAGTCAACATTAACAGTATGGTACGATAGTTATATGCAAAATATGATGCAGAAGGAATTATGGATCAAAAGAAAATAACATGGACATTTTTCAGATATTATGCTATTGGTATATTTTATCATCAGTAGTTTTTTTATATTATTATTTGGGTATGTTGGGTATGTTATGCACAATACTACAACCTACTTTTTTATATATAATAACGTATATATGCAGCAAGAATGCAGCATGGATTATACATGTTTTGTACATGTTTGTAATACATATATTAAAAATTCCAAATGGTCGTTTTCAAAGTTGGCTGGGAATTACTGATGAGAAACATTATATTTTAACACTTGTTATGTGTTGGATACATTTAAGAAGTATCAGTCACAATATGGATAGTATTAATGACCAATTTTCTAGTTCAAACAACTTCATTCAAAAATTAGCATATTGCTTATATCTGCCTACGTTATTTTTAGGACCACTTATTTTATATCATGAATTTGTGGAATCTGTATGTATGAATATTTATATATATTACATTACAGAATTACATAGTTCAATAAAATATATGGATATTTTATTTTTTCAGATCAATCAACCACATCAGTATTGGAATTGTCAAAAGCTTTTAACATTTATGTTTAATTTAGTTAGATTTATATTCTGGTCTATTTTTACTGAATTGTTTTTACATTTTATTTATGTAAATGCTATAAAGTATCAATTGCAGGTAATAATTTTTTTATACAACATATGCTTACGTGTCATGAGATGTATATATAAAAATATATTTTATTTTATATAGGTTTTACAAAATTTGAATTCTTGGGAACTACTTGGTTTAGGATATTGCATGGGACAATTTTTTTTAAATAAATATGTTGTAATTTATGGAACATGCAGTAATTTATGTTATTTAGATGATATAAAAGCGCCATCACAACCTAAATGCATAGCTAGAATTCATTTATATTCCGACATGTGGAAATATTTTGATAGAGGATTATACAAATTTTTAATAAGGTAAGTTTGATTAAATTTATCTACTATATATGTATTTTTTATTCTGTTACAATAATCAAAAAGATTATATATGTTTCATTATAATACAGACTTAGATTTCTGTTAATTTGACTTCACTATTATATTTACAGATATATCTATGTTCCTATACGAAATTCTATATCAAATAGAAGCTTTGGAAAATTATTTGCATCATTTTTGTGTTTCACGTTTGTCTTTATATGGCATGGGATACAAATGAATATCTTTATTTGGGCATTGCTCAATTTTATAGGAATAATAATTGAAGATATAGGAACATCAATTGGCAAAAGTAAACAGTATTGTAAAGTACAGAATACATATTTATCTTCAAGAAATGCTAAGATGCTTCATTGCATATTGGCGAGCCCTCTTTTAGCAATGTCAGCGATATCTAATTTTTACTTTTTGGGTGGACAAGAAGTTGGAAATATCTTTACACAGAAAATAATATACGGCAAGTTTATTATATATACAATATCTAATTTTCCATTTTTTTCATATTATTATTTACTATATATAGAGAAATTATATCTGTTATTTTTTAATAAGATTTATTTTCTAATAAGATTTAATAATAAATATTGCATACCACACAATATTTATTATTAAAAATATATATATAATTTATTATTATTAAAAATTTTAATATTTTCTCAAATCTAAAGTAGAGAATTCTTATATTGTAAATAAGTCAAATTAAGATGCTAATTTTTGTCTATAGGATCTTGGAAAAGTCAATTTATTCTACTTTTCCTTCTTTACTGTTGCTGTCAAGTTTCTGTAGATATTAAAAGCTGGGAATTACGTCGTATGAAAAGATAATATGTACTCTCTTTCTTTAAAAAAATTTTAATTATCTACTAATTGAATGTTTTGTATATAAATTAATGCAATATGATTGACGCGTTAAATTAAAAGAAATATAATATAGAAATGTATCTGAGAAATTAAGATGATAAAATTATGATGAAGTTTGAAAGTTAATAAATCTTTTTTTATATAACGTTTTGTCATATTTGTTTAAATATTTCGCAAGAATATTTTTATAATAAAATACACAGACGATTTAAAAGAATATTCTTTGAGACTTTATTTTTCACAGAGAAAATATTATACAGAGTGTCTTGAATTTAAATTATCTATTGTAAGGTCTTAAAAGGGTCGAACATTAATTTTTTTTTTATATCGAAATACTGAATGAATCGCGTTTTAATTACGATATTCGTAATCAGGAAAGGCTCCTGAAGGTTCGTACAGAGCGATTTTTTTTGTAAAAAGAGAAAAATAATTTGTTCTGATATCTCACCCTATGTGTACTATGGTGCAATTGAGGTGTACATGATCTTATTAATAAAAATTTTCAGGAATCAATTTATAAAATTTTGCTCTGTACGAACCTTCCCAGCAATATAACAAAGAAATCCCAACAGGTTTCATAAAGAAATATTTCCTTGAGAAGAAAAATGACTTCAAGTCATCAGATGATTGCTAGTCATAGGGAAATTCTTCACGAGTTGGGTTACTAGGTAGACAAAATCCATAAAAAATGGCAGGCGAATGTTGGCATTTCTCGAAGAACCCTAGGATTTTGGACATATATATATATGTTCTCAACTGTGATTGGTCAATTCGCTTACTGATTACGTTTACGTAAATAGATAACGACAATGGAAAGAAGTGAGATAAAATATCAATGCCCTGGTTGGTTACACGTCTCGTTCGCGCATGTGCAGTTCGTTTTTATACATGGTGAAATCATGAGAGTTGCGCTACTGTATATATTGTGCTATGGCTGGTCTGTGGCCCTGATATGAACATTAGTGACAATTAGATCTACTCGTTTTAGTTGCAAATTTTGTACTTTGTTTTTTCTCTCTTTCTTCATTTAAAGTAAATACAATTTAATTTTATTTAAAGACAGAAAATGCAAGAAAGTATAATAAATATAAATATATCTACTATCAAATGGTAAAATATTTTGTTATAAGAGAATTATTACTATTTCATATTAACAAATAAGACAGTAACTAGAGAATAAATACAAAGAAAGCTTTTATAAATAAAACTATCATTTATGAGTTATGAGTGTAGAGTAACTTATAATATAGAGTTTTGTTATTAATATAAATTTAACAATGTGATCGTTAAAATATAACTACTAGTGATTAAATATAAAACAAGTATGCATTTAATTACGTAAGATTATAGAGCAAGTCTTGATTGTTTTTTGTTTTCTATCTAGGCTTCCTTTTGTGACTGTATTATTTGACACATAATCTTATGTATAGTTATTTACATAGAACGTGTTTGATAAAATCCAAATAAATTGATAGGTAAGTGTCGACAATATTTCTACGAACGATTAAGTAATATATAATTTAAGTTGATTAGATGAAATTATATATGTCTACGTAACACTTATGTTTTCTTCTATTCTACACTAATTATTGTGTATCATTAATTCATTTAAAATTTGTAATAATACAACATGCCACAAACTTTATTTTTATTTTATATATTTGTTTAACATTATTTCTCTGACATAATTATTTAAAGGAATGCAAAGTTTATAAAGTGTTTTATTGTCTTAAAATCTTAATTTTATTTTTAATTTTATATTTACAAGAATATTTTAGAATCTCAAAATTGTATCCTGTGGTCTAAAATGCTTCTTTTTTCATTTTCTATTAATATATATCTAATTTTCTACTATTATGTATCTAAATATACTTATTTTCACATTATATGTGTTACAGATATGTCAGAGCATGTGGAACTGCAGCATTTAGTGGATGCTGATATGGAAAGTAACACAACAAATCATAAAAGAAAGTTTTTTACTCTATTATGTAAATCGTGTCCTTATCTAGGTCTAGTATTAGCAACACTGTCGTCCTTGTTCTTCTCATTATGTAGTGTAATCGTTAAGAGTTTAGTAGAGATAAATCCAACAGAGATGGCAATGTTCAGATTCTTTGGGGTATTGTTACCAGCTATACCAATTGTGATTTATAAAGGTGAACATCCTTTTCCAAAAGGACATAGACTAATACTTATTCTAAGGAGTTTTATTGGTACAACAGGACTTATGTTAAGTTTCTATGCATTTAGACATATGCCATTGGCCGATGCCTCAGTTATTGTATTTTCTGTTCCTGTATTTGTATCAATATTTGCCCGGGTATTTTTGAAAGAACCTTGTGGATTATTTAACGTTGTTACTGTATGTTTAACATTGATTGGTGTGATATTGATAACACGACCGTCATTAATTTTTAGTCACACCATAGAATCTCTCTCAGATGGTCAAGTTAAGTCAGAACATGCAGATTTATGGAGTGCTATGGCTGCTTTCTCAGCTACTTTATTTGGTGCGAACGCATATGTTTTACTACGTGCATTAAAAGGTCTTCATTTCTCTGTTATAATGACAAATTTTGGTTCATTTGCTTTAATTCAAACTACACTCATATCATGGGCAATTGGTGCATTGTGTATGCCACATTGTGGTATAGATAGAGTTTTAATTGTTGCACTCGCACTGTTTAGTTTTGCAGGTCAAATCTTGTTAACTTTAGCTCTTCAGATTGAACAAGCTGGTCCAGTGGCCATAGCAAGATCTACAGATATTGTCTTTGCGTTTTTTTGGCAAGTATTATTTTTTAATGAAATTCCAAATCGATATTCTGTAGGCGGGGCTATATTAGTCACTAGCTCAGTTTTGTTAACAGGCTTAAGAAAATGGGCTCTCTCATTACCGGAAACATCAAATATAAAAAAATCTCTTGGAATCTTAATGATATAAATAATGGTATCTTTATTTAGAGAAGAAAGAAACTAAAGTAGACTACAAAAAAGAATGCCCAAGAAGTAATTATATATAAAAAATATTGTTACAAGTGATAGCAGTTTAAACGTTTGTTTTAAAATTTATGAATTTATATAGATATAACGTATACTTGATCTACATTAGTTTTCTTATTAGCTTATTCTATTCTAATAGTTATTTGAAGGTACTAATATTAAAATGGAGGCTATAATTATTTTAAATGGACTTAATTAAATTAAATTAAATTAACAACACCACACACGTTCAAGTATCATACAGTAGTTCTTCTAAGATATTAATCTATTTTTAAATATTAACGTAATTTTGCATATGTAATGCAATAATACTTTAAACATACGTTTAACATAATCATACTATTGTTTATTTTTTATGATTAATCTGTTGTTCCTATTGACAATATTAAGAAAGAGGATGTATTTGAAAACAATCAAAATATCATTTATTTTTTTTAAATTCATGTCTGCATATTTTGTATAGTAATAAATTATTATCAGTCAAGAAAGTAGTGCCTATAAGAGCCAAACACTGGTTGGTCGTGTGTAATACATTTATTATTTGTGAAAATTAATATACGTTTTGATATGGAGCCTTCTATCAATTAATTGATAGAAAGAAAGAAGATAAATATTTGCAGTAAATGTGAAATTATAATGCTAGATAGCAAATGTTTAAAGTGCTTTTTTGTAAAATTATTTTTTATAAATATGCATCTTTTTTATGAGTATTGAAGTAATTTTTAATGTTTCCAGAAAAAATGAATTTGATTGAGGTTTTGTTTTTAAAAATTATAATATATTAATTTTAAATTATAAGTAATTTTATTAAAGCTAATTTTATTAAGAGACGTGAAAACTTCACGAAAGAAATAGTCTTGATTTTACCTGATTTTGAAGATAGTTAAATGTGAAACATTCATCATTCTGTGATTATATGATATTATTTAATTGTAAAAATTGTACTTACACACAGACGTTTTTATTCTTGGATAATTTCTTTGACATTAAAAGACTACCAAAAGGAGAGATTATAGTCTGTTTATATTTCTGTTCACCATATATTTATTAACTGTTACATTGAAGAGGATCGAAATGTTTGTACATTTTTTTTTATCAAACTTTTTGTCAAACCAATATATATATATATATATATATATATTGGTTTGACTTCTTTACGCACCAAAAACTGCGGAGGCTTGCATAGGCATTTTATTTATATTTTATTTTCAAAAAATGAATTATAAAATGACAATTCTGTTTTGTAATTTTACAATTGCATTCTCATTTTTAATAATAGTATAAATGGAATATTGATATTAGGATAACAGGTATACTAAAGTTTTTTTTTCATGTTCTAATTAATGTCATAATTTCTATTTCGTTCTAATTAAAATCATACACACATATATATATATATATATATATGTATGTATGACATTAGTATACCTGATATCCTAATATCAATATTCCATTTATACTATTATTAAAAATGAGAATGCAATTGTAAAATTACAAAACAGAATTGTCATTTTATAATTCATTTTTCAAAATAAAAAAAAATATATATCAATATTTATTCACTTTCACTATTGTGTCATGTTTACTATTGTTTGTATATCTAAATTTTTTGAACATGTGATTCGCTAACTTTAAACTTTTTTAATTGAAAAATTAGTATAAAGATAGTCTCTACATTGTGGTATTAAGCCAAATGACCTCTACAATCTACCTAATAGGTATAAACATCATTAGCGGCGTATTGCTTCAATGTTGGTATGTTTAAAATTGTTAAAACATACAGCAAGTTGTCAGCATTATAAGCAATCATAGATTTACGCGATTTTGCTTAAACACAATTAATTCAAGATTATTTAATCAGGTATTGCTTTTTTCATTTTCTCTATTTTGGTGTGTGCGCGCATACTTGTGTGTACAGAGTGTGAGAAAAAGAGTGTATACACGTGTATATAGAAGCATATGATAGGAGTATATATATGTATGCACGCGCGTACATAGTAAACCATGAGTATAACAGTTACAGATGTAAATATATATCCTTTACATCTATATGTTACGTAACAGTTATAAAATCAAAAATGAACTTTAGACAGAAAAGGGCACTAGGAGTTATCTACGCTTAACTCCTAGTGCCCTTTTCTTTCTAAGTTAATTTTTTATTTAAACAGGAGTTTGTTATTTATGAATTAATATATTGTAACAGTTATACTCATGATTCGGTAAGATTACTATTTACTAGTTTATATGCTCCACATGGGACATGTAGTGTGACAATTGTATGTTATTTATTATATACAAATATGTATATAATAAAAACGTATTATATATAATCTTTTTAAATTGAAAGTCGCTATATTGATATAATTAATTTCCTATTTTTAATACTTCTTAATATTTTAATAAATTCCTCTGCAATAAATCCCTCTTCAAAATTTTATTTTATGATTTATTTTTTGCGATCTAAGGTGTTTTACGCGACCTTTCATAAAGTTAGAAAGTGAATAAAAAAAAATATGAAGTATTTAATCTTGTGAACGACGTAATTGGCGTAATAATATTTTTATTTTGCATATTAATGCAATAAAAATAGAGATCGAGAACAAAAATTAAAAATAAGATATTTATTTGGTTTCGACGTATTAAAAACAGGAAAGTTCAATTGTAATAGATTTAGTAATCTGTTGAACAGATTTTAAGTGTGCATATACGAGTTGTATTTTTATAGCAAGAAAGATTTTGATTGGTATATTTATTCGTCTTTTGTAATTTTAAATAAATATTCGCTATAGGATTTTTATATTTATAAGTTTAGAGTAGAAAAAATATCGAACTTATATGTATTACTTACTCTTTTTTTCTGTGATTTATATATATATAGGAACATTTTCTTAAATAATTAGTATGTAAGTGTAATATATTATATAAATATAGTCGAAATTATTTTGTCTCGAGACAGATAAACTACATATTTATTACAAATACAATTTTTACTTTTTAAGATACAAAAGATTAAAACAAACAAAATAGAAAAAAATATTTGTCAATATTCATATTTGTCATAATATAGATTTGCTTAATATAGAATCTACAACAAACATGTAATATTTTGTTTTTCTTCTATTATTACTATATAATAACATTTTATTTACTATAGTTTCATGAAGATTGTAAAAAATTACATTATGTATAGATACATATATATAATATATATATATTTACTTATTGATTATAGTATTTAAATATGAAAATTATATACATCGTATTTGCTTCGTAATATTAGTATAAAAAACAAAACGTTACACATGTAATATCTTCCATAGCAAAAAAGTCCCAGTAACATGACAACAAAATCATGCGGTTGCGCGCAAATTCATTTATATATAAACGTAATATTACATCAAAATTACAATGACTTGAGAAAGTTTGTTTTGTTATAGATATATTCCATAGTGGAAGAAGACTTGCACTATGATATCATTATAATATTAGGCGAAAGCTGTGATAAAAGCAGAGATAGTAGTGGCTGCATTGGAGGAGTGGGGGTAGTTCATATTTAGAAAAGGATACACTCATTCAAACTCATATTGGACGCGGAAACGCTTGCCGCGCGGCAAAATGTGACGCGGTAGCCAATGAGCTTGCAGCTCCTAACATATTCATTCATACCTTGACGGGAAGAGCAGTAACCAATCAGAACACGCGCTGGTAGTCGATTTTCTGTCAGAGCGCGTTTACACCTTGACGGAAAAGCGGATTGCGGAAAAGCAGTAGCCAATCAGAACGCTTATCCGCGGTTCCGTCATAGTGTAAACTCGCCCCAGACTTAAAAGTCTGTTGTAGATCTTGAAACACTAATGTGGTCTTCTGATTGGTTCCTGACATCTCAAAACTAAACTTAAGACAATCTTGAATATATAAACTGACTATAAATCGGTCGTAAAGCTGCGTTAAAGCTGCGTTAAAGCTCAATGTTCACAGTGCTAGAAGCTAGAACCAGCTAGAACTCGATCCGAGTACTAAGAAATTTGTAGCTCATCAACTTGTTATGTTTCCATAAAAATTACAAGTTGATATCGACCGATATTACTGCTGGAATAATAACGATAATCTGTCGCTCCAATTATTTATTTTATGTATCTTTATGGCCTAGGGGTCAATTCTGTATCTTGAAACGAATTGAAAATTATAAGAGTGAATTTACTAGAATAGTTATAATTTTATTGGTTAATACCTAGTAAATTTGCTCACTTTCGTAATTTTCACTTTGTTTCAAGGCCTATATATGCATGGAACTCAGCCATTGGTCGTATTCAAGTTGACGAAATGATTGATCCGATCAATCATATCCAATTGCTCGGTAAACAGGTTAATAGCTTTGTGATCTTTGCTCATCTTGAACGCGCTAATTTTCTAGATGACATTCACTTCACGTTGCAAAAGCATTGAAACATTTTTTGATTGGTCAATTCTGAAAATTCTTTTTTCTCATTGGTCAACGAAGCATTTGCAGTGTTAAATAGATAAATTGCGTCCTCTATTCCTTGAAATGTGTGCTAGTGCCTTACTCTCCCCTTCTTACTCTTCACCATCTTATTTCCACCATATTACTCTCTTTCTCTTTTACTGTCATTTGCTAATATCCTGTTTGGGAAATCATGTGTCTCGTATACATACACGTAGCGGTCATATAGCGCATTGTACTTATCGACATTCGATTGGATGGGAAAACAGATTTTCTGTTATTTGTTCTACTTGTACTGATTCTTGTGTCATTACGTTGTAAACAAGGAGATATTATTGCGTGAGAAGGTCGAACCCACCTTCCTATAACAAAAAGTGAGTGCTGCGGTTTTCGACTTGACATATGCGGTTGATGAAAAGGAAGGGGAAAGAAAAGATAAAGTTGACAAGATATATTTAACATTGTCAAAAAATACGAATGTAAAAAGAGAAAGAAATGAGATAAATAAAATGTAGAGAGGTTATACTGATGAGCAATCAAGAATTGTGTGATGTGTAAATGTAGGAATGGTCGATAGATCGAATGGCGTAGATAATTGTGTGTGTGTGTGTGTGTGCTGGTACATATATATATACAGAGAGAGAGAAAGAGATTGTTTTTTGCGATAGAATATTTAAAATTGCTGAAACATAAAATTTAACGAACAGATTAAATAATAGGAGAAGTTATGTGTTCTTTATATGTAAATTAAGGATGCTACGTATTAATGTTAGAGTGTAGAAAAAAAGAATGACGTAATGTTCGAGTAGAGAGAGAAAAAGAGAGTGTGTATATGTGCGTAAAGTAATTATCATATTAAATATACCTGTTTATTAAAAAACTAAAATTGTAAAACTGTGAAGTAAGTAATAGTAAATAATAATTAAAAAAAAATATAGAAAATAGGTTAAGGTTAACGGATTGAGTCATGGTTGGATACAAAAAAAAAAAGTACATGTGTTTAGGCAAGTTTAAGAATATAATATAATAAGGTTATATAGAATGAGACAGAAAAAGAAAGAAAGAAAAGTGATTTATTAAAGTGATACAATATTAAAGCACTATAAAATTAATTTATTGTTTATATAAGAATATATTAAATTTTGAATGTATGCATATACTTTAAGGATGAGCAAAACAAGGGAACAAGCTGGTTCGTCTAAGTCATCAGGATCTGCAGGCTCTACTGAAGAAAAAGAAAAGGATGAGAGGATTTTTGAGTGCAATATTTGTTTGGATACAGCAAAAGATGCAGTTGTTAGTATGTGCGGTCATCTGTTTTGGTAAGTATTGATTTGATAACACAGCACATTGAAGACTGAATTATTCTTTATGATTTAAATAATATAAATGATAATACAGTTGGCCATGTCTGCATCAGTGGTTAGAGACCAGACCTACTAGACAGGTTTGTCCAGTATGTAAAGCTGCAATAAGCAAAGATAAAGTCATTCCATTATATGGACGTGGAGCTGCAAAACATGAAGATCCAAGGTATAACTCGTTCCTTTCTATCTAAATTGAATATTATAAATTAGAAATATTGTATTAAATATCAAGTTTAATAAAAAAATATGACTTATATTCTAGGAATAACGTGCCACCACGTCCGGCCGGTCAAAGGTCAGAACCAGAAGCCAATGTCGGCTTTCCCGGCTTTGGCTTTGGTGAAGGTTCCTATTTGTCGTTCGGTATTGGCACTTTTCCATTTGGTTTTATTACATCGACTTTTAACATTGGAGAAACACGACCAAGCGCAGGTAATACTTGTTATAAATTTAAGGGGAAAAATATATAAAATTTTTCTTTTCCTTTTTATATTGAAAAAAATATAATTTCGAAATTGTAAGGCAAAACTATTTATCTTTATGTGTCTTTCTTTTCATACAATTGTTTAATTTTAAATATTTATTAAATTTTGAATGTATGCATACTTAAATAAAAAATCCAAAAGTTCATGGGTAGCACACTTGGGATATGGAATGCCCCATGCATATATACCATATTTGTAGTCATATTTATTACGTGCTGAAATATTTTCGGACTTTAAAACGCAGCTAAATTACTGAAAAATTTAATTGTAGTATTAGGTGCATCCAGAAGCACGATCACTCACTGAGCGCTCAGTGAGCTTTTGTACCTGTTTGGTTTATATTTTTAGATCTAATGGAATATGCCAATCAGATCAAAAAGCTCACTGTCGTGTTTCTGGATGCACCTAATACTACAATTAAATTGATGTAAATAAATTTATTGCGAAAAATATTATCTCGGCCAAGAGTCGAACCCGGATCTCTTGCATTTCGTGCGAGCGTCCTTAGACTACTGAGGCATGCATGAGTATTTTTGAGGAGATTGCCTGTTTCCTGTACTCATGTTTCAGCAGATGAGTGAGAACACATTAATACGTTTCTATATGTATTATTCATTGTCAGTTTTGCTCAATATGGAAAGAGGCACAGTCATACATTTACTTATCGTTTATTAATTATCACAGCAATTTTAAATTAAGTGATCGAAAAGAAGAAAATTTTTTAATAAATATTTTATACTGTCGTTTTTGCTGCACCATTCTTGCTTTCTCTCGCCATACACAGCTCTATAATTTTTTTCACCGTGATACTTAGTTTTTATAAAATGCAAGAAAATTGCAAGCGTTCTTGAATTTATAACGGTAGTGTATTGTCGTGTGAACGTGCTCTAAATTCCATTTAGGATGCAATCAATTTGCTGAAGCAATTTTTTATTGGTCATTTAGTAAAATTCTTTTTTCCGATTGATTAATCAAATGCTTCGAATCATTTAACAACTCCATCGTACATAAGAGATTATGTGCGTCCTTACGTAATAGAAGCAGCTATGATACGCACATGTTTTTTTGACTACGGCACGATAACAATCGAGGTTTTTTTTATTCTGTGAATCCTTTGTCTGATCACGAGGCATATCAGTGATATATAGTATATTACATTTAGATATTAATTCTCAAGTCATACAAATTTTTTTAATTTCTAATGTTTAATATTGCATTAATAATTAAAAAATAATTTAGAACAAAATTATTTACTTGCAGCTCCCAGAGGTACACCACAATATGAAGAAGAGCAGTTTTTATCTAAAGTATTTTTGTGGTTAGCAGTAATATTCATCTGCTGGCTGTTGATGGCATAACATTACTTCTAAATCTCACACACACACACAACACACACACACACACACACCAGTTTGCCCGATAATTTATAATTTTTGTCTAATGACATCCTGTCGATTTATGATAATCGCAACGTTACGTCGGTTTTCATTATGTGATTTTTGCAAACATCTCTTTGAAAAAAAGAAACAAAGATACAAATTTATTTCTGCGTATTTTAAAACTATACAACTAAAGAAATAATTTTTTCTTACTTTTGCTTTAGAAAAGAGGCAACAAGTGTATTGAACCATTTTTTGTCCATATAAAATGTTTTACACGGTTTCGTTAGCATTTACATACTTCGAACAGGATTAATCTTCAGACACAATGCGAGGGAATAGTGATAACGATAGAAATAGCACAATTTTAATTTGTAACACAAATAAATTGAAAACACCAAAATACACAGCCTCTGATGATTTGAAATCGTATTATTTTTATCGCTATTTCCATTTTCTTACATTGTGTTTGGGGCTTTATTCTTCAATTTGGATAATTCTGATATTTTAATGATATCTTTTTTATGTATATATTATATATAAATATATTATATTCGGAAGAAGTGTAATAATCACAAGTGCGTAATCTGTTATTTAATATATTAAAAGTAAAAAAATGTATAATTTAAGTGAAAACACACAAAGGAAAATATTAATGCATTAAGATAAAACGCGCGGTTTTATGAGGAACTGCAAATTTGAACAGAGAGTGTATATAATAAATAAATATATGTATGTACGTACAATATGTGTATATAATTTTGAATTTAAATTAAAAAATTAATGTATATGCAATTTAAGCATTTGATTACATATTAATGTATATATATTCGTAATTACTTGTTGAAATATTGAAATATAACATCTCACCAAAAAAATGGATTCTCACGAAAATATCAGCAATAATTAATTTGTTCGTGATTCTTTCATTGATGAATGATCAAAATTTAATTCTTTTGTTATGCTTCGATTTTATTATGCTCGTGAAATTTTTGTTTCATTCAAATTTTAAGAGCATATTGGATGATATTTATATACAGTTATATACAGTTTAGCTGATATATACATTTAATCGTATCTAAAGATTAATTGAAATTATATTTAGTTGAGAAACAAAATGATTAATTATATAAAACCTAATTCGAGATACAAAATATATAATTAAAACAGCGCTTGTTTAAAAATAATCTTTTCCGTCTTAAATCAATGACATGTCAATTAACGTATTACTAATACATCAGTTATGGACAAAAGTATAATTATTAAAAAGGACATTCCTTTCCAAATAAAAGAAAAATTGATCACTTTTGAAAAAGACATTTTTAAAAATGTACAATAGAACTAGGAACTCGGACCAAACCGGAATTAGAACAGAAAACCGTTCCATAATCCTGTTTTTTCAGATGAATCGAAATCAAGACAAAGTTCTATAACCGCTCACTGAACGCTCAATGAGCTCTTGTATCTGTTTGATTTATATTTTTAGATTTATCGAAATATACCAATCAGATGCAAGAGCTCACTGAGCGCTCAGTAAGCAGTCGTCGTACAGAATGCACCCAATAAAAAATCTCGTTTCGAAGTTTTATCATCAGCTTTGCTCCTTGTTCCTACTTAGTTAATGAAATTAAAAAGATTGCTATTTTTTTCATTTGATATATTCTTTTCTCTTTTTGAATTAACAAGGGAAAGCAATGAATCATCAATTTTATATAGGCACTGGCCAAAAATTTAGTTGTCTCTTCTGTATTGTCTTGATGCAATAAATGATGCGCGATCTTGGCCGACTTTGATAAATTTTTTCAAATACAGTTAGCAGGAAAATTGTGTATCATTCAGCATTAATTGTACGACGATTTTTAAGCGCGACAAACACAATAACAGGACCAGTTTTTCTGAAGAACGATGCAATTATTTTCTTCCCAACACTTCTGCCGCGCTTCACTTTTGTTGGATGCGGCTCATCCGGGAACATCCCACACACTCGATTGTCGCTTGCTTTCTGGTTCAGAGTAATAAATCTATTTGTCACCTAGCTGTTACGATATCGTAACTCTGGATCGACCATTGTTGAATTTTATAATCTACATGTAATATTCGAAGAAATATATACGTAATATAAAAATTAAACCTTTATTGAAGAATAAAATTAAAAGAAAAAAATATAATATAATAGTAACAGGAATGTTAACACTGTTATTTACCTTGATAAATAATGTACAATTTAATGACATCTTGTATTTATTATAATTCTTTTTTAATATAGTAGAACCTCTTGCAAATGTTATTTTTAAAAAACATTCAAGAATACTCACTACAGATTTTATTCTCAACAAGTTATTAATATTCTTCTTATAACATAAAATATATTATTTAAACAATATATAATATATTCTTATTTTAATATATTACATAAGTACTTATAGAAACACTATATCACGACATAATTAGTGTAGATAATCTCCTGATAAAATAGAACAGGCCTGTTCAATTGAAGTTGTAAAACCAAAATGCAAATTGACGCAAAAAAATTCAATGTGAGTAAAATTTCATGGACCGTCTCTCTCAAACGCATATCAATTCTTTGCAATCTCCGAAATCTTTATATTACTTAAATTAAATCTATATTGCTTTTTTTGCGTCATAGTTTTGCGTTTTAGCTCCGGAGCTCAAATTTGACGGCCCTAAAATAAGCATATCTTTTTCTCTTTCACTGATATTGGAAATAAGATAAGACAGTTCATTAAATTTTTTATGTTTTGTAAAACATTTCGTGTATTAATATTGAGAATCCATTACTTTCGAAAAACATTTTTTTAATCAATTATTTTTAAATAAATCATACATAACAACAAATATATTGAACACGATCAGAATTATTCGATATCCAAAACAGATACTGGTATAATTGCACGATGTTACAGGAAAGTATGTAGCGTCAGTATCACACACACATATACTTTTCTAATCCTTTCATTAATAGGAATCATTGAGTGGTCTTTTTATCTATCTTCGTTCATATGAAAAGAACAACTACTCTACTCACACATAGAACAAAATATATAATAGATATCTTATATCCATATGTTTATATGATGTCCATATCTAATATGGATACTAGTAAATATCTAGATACATGTAGTGGTACATAGAATATGCTGCTAGAGATATAAAAAAATGTCTACGATAATCCTGTAAACAAGGTGGAGTAAATAAAAGACATGATATGGACAACGTAATATACAACCTCTATGCTCCGATAAAGTCTGAAAGTGCACGCGCGCGCACACATATACACACACACACACACCGTTTGCATTTTATATGTACATCTCTTGTGTTGTATACAGTTTATTTCATTTTAAATGTGACGACTTCAAATAACTCTTCAACAATGCATTTTAAAGAAAAATGTTTTATATAAAAGTCATATTACATTTAAGGAAGATGTTCTAAATCGGATTGTGTTCCAAATCGGACCTTTTTAATAAAAAATAAATACAGTTAAGCAGATTTGCGTGCTATTTATAATGTAAAGTCCTTATAAGACACCGAACATGTGACAGCTGTTTGGCAGTACTCTGTTATAACGTTCATAGAATAGACGCAAATATGTATTTTCGGCTATCATGCGAAAATTATTTTAAAAAAGAAAATCCTTGTAAATTATTATTTAAAAGATGTTGAAAATTTGAACGGTTAATGATTTAAGATAATTGAAGAGTGTAGAATTCAAAAATAAATTTTGTGATTACTTTTGCGGTTTATTGTAAAATCTGTTCCAATATTCGAAAGAACTCGTGTTCAAATCGGACCTATACAAAAACATTAAAAAGATGAGTAAGCCAGCTAATTCATCAAAGAAAGAAAGTTTGCCACAACTTGGTTGTAGTACTGGTGATCAACTGATCAGATCTGGTCTAAGGAACACTAAGTAAATCAATAAAATATCATGTATCATCAGACTCAGATTGATAGAATTTTTTATTAACTTTAATTCTAATAATATAAACTATATTTTTATCTTTGAGTCGTAAATTGCTCGTTTTCACTCAATACTAACAAAAATTAATTAAAATATTTTAAAATTCTATCTAAAAGTCCATAAAAACAGGAGAGGTCCGATTTGGAACTCATAGACCGAAAAATGCATTTTTACATTTTCCATTCGACACAGATAAGAGATAGGTCAAAATGGTTTGAAGCAAAAATAAAGAAAATTAAATGATCTTTCGAACGGCACCATTGGCTTTATGATCGGACTTTATTTACGCCTTATAGAGAACAAAAACTGCAAATAGTCCGAGTTAGACTACTCTCCCCTATATTACATTTTTTTTAAGAGCATTGGAGATTCTTCTAGAGATATTGGAGATTATTATTAAAAATGAGTCACCCTGTATATATACAAATCTTGCGTACGTAGATAAAAATATTATGTACATTAGCATATTATATGTACCATGAATGTTATTTAAATATCTATTGAAAATGATGTGCACATAGATACTTACAATTAGATATTTTATGGACATTCAACATCTCAACTGGGAGATATTTAGATATATAGATCTATCTAATGGCTGTTGATTAGGTATTCATGAATATCCCTAGTACCCAATGAGGATATCTAACATATCATGTTCTGTGTACATAGATGTATAATAGTTCTCAATCTGTCAATAAAAATTTAATCTAAATTTAATTAAAATTATATTTAATTTAAATTTATTTATGTCTAGAATTTGTATGAGTATTGTGCGCCATGTAATTCAAGCTCATTCAATTTTCAATTTTAATTCGTAAATATACTCGTCGATTTATGATAATATTGAACAGATGCTATGCTGGGTGCGTTGTTTTCACGCTCATACGTTGTAAGCATCAGTTCATGCTTCAATTAGCTCAAATATTAAACAAGGAATTAAATGAAGCTTACGAACACTGTAAGCTTAAAATAGCTTAATTTACAGATAATATCGTTATCATGCAATAAAATTATTCTCTTGAATTCTATATACAGAAAAGAGAATAATTTAGTATAAAGCTGGGCTATACCTATATTTCGGTCGATTTTCAGTTTGATTAAATGCCAATTGGGGCATTTAGAGATTATGCGCTGATTAGTGAAGAGGCAGGAATCAAGATAAAAATTGGTTGAAATGTGCAGATATCATCCAGTTCTGCTCTAGTAATAATTAGAGTAGTCCTATGTTATATCGTAATTTCATTATGAAAAAGGTGAACGTAAAATGATTTTAGCAATATCTATGCCATTTTAGACAACATTTAAAAAGCCCTCATTTCTGTAAACAAATATTCATAGCACATTACAAGAAATGATCGCGATATAACCATAGTGTTCTGAAATTCACGAATCAAAATATCACAACAAAAAAAGTGTTCGAAAATTGAATAAAAAGATTATGTGTATATTTTTATTTCAAGCAATAGTTTTTGTAGAGATGCAAGGGTTTCAAATTTAAAACACTTTATACTGTATTTAAATTTTAAATATAACCAATTATATTTAGACAATCATCTATGAATCACATGTACGATAGTATTAATATGCACACATTTGAACGTAGTCCATAAATAATTTTATGTGAACCCTAATTATTTTACAAACTATTGCTTAAAGTAAAAATTCACAAATAAGCTTTTTTTCTTAATTTTTTGAAAACCTTACTGTGGTATCTTGATTCACGAATTTTCGAACATTTTGTATACTTGCAAATAATAACTCCTATTGTTTTGTGCAATATGATTATTTTGGCATTAATGTTCTAAACATTACCGTTTACAACAGGACTTACTATTAGTTATGTAAGAAGACAGACAAATATCGAGACACTTTATGAGAAAATAATGGCGAATTTATTTAAATATCACGAGGCTCGTGTGGATCCGGGAGTTTCTGCCAGTTCGGTTCAACGTCCCATATCTCGCGCGCATATTCCGCTATTGTACGATCTGATGAGAACTTTCCCGATGATGCTATGTTATGAATAGCCATTTCTACCCACTTGTTCTCGTCCTGAAAAAATTAATAAGCGATTTACTAGTCAATCTTTTTAATAAAAAGTTTATAAGAAAGGTCATTAAACAATAGATTAATTACCTGATAGACTTTGCTAACATGATCCTGCATGTTTATATAGCTCTCGTAATCAGCCAAGAGTAGGAATCTATCCCACTTAAGCAGTACATCAGCGATATCTCGGAATTCGTCAGGGTTATTCGGGCTGAAGAATCCTCCTTGGATTTGATCGATACATTGTTTAGCTTCCGGTAATTTGTTATAATAACCGTATGCATTATAGCCTTTTCTTTTTAGAGCCTCTACTTCCTCTACTGTCATACCAAAAATGAAGATGTTTTCATTACCCATCTCTTCCGCCATTTCTACATTTGCTCCATCTAAAGTACCAATGGTCAATGCGCCATTCAACTAAAAATAAAGCAAAGTTCCATTATCTCAACTAAATTTTATAAGTTAGCATTTTGTAAAAATAACTGTAATCATAAGATGAATTTAATTTATTTAATAAGATCATAAGAAGTAATTAAGATCATTTCATGTCCGTCAAATGAGTTTATTATCGAGATTATCTCACCGGACATGTAAGCAAATGTGTAATTTAAAATTTTATTTCGTTGCCAAGTATTACTGACCATAAATTTCATGTTGCCAGTACCAGATGCTTCGGTGCCAGCAGTCGAAATTTGCTCGCTCAAATCCGCGGCTGGTATGATCTTTTCGGCCAAGGTCACACGATAATTTTCAAGGAAGATTAACTTGAGCTTATCACCAACGATCGGATCATTATTGATAACATTAGCAACACTGCAGATGAGTTTGATAATCTTCTTTGCCAAATGATAACCTGGTGCTGCCTTACCACCTATCATCACAGTTCTTGGAACAAAATGAGCAGACGGATCTTTTTTTATTCGATTGTATAAAGTAATGACGTGTAAACAATTCAATAATTGTCGTTTGTACTCGTGTATACGCTTCACCTGTCAACAAAACATTACAATTCAACCTTATATTATTTTATCTTGTTGAATTTTTTTTTCATGTAGTTTAAGATTCGGCTTTCGAGGGACGCTAGTTTGGGTTGTGTGATGACGAGAAATTACGTGCAATAAATGAATTGCGACGGTTTTTATAACTGAGAAATGTATCATTATTTCATATTCGTTGTCAGTATTCTAACCTGGATATCAAAGATTGAAGCCGGATTAACTCGAACACCATAGTCTTTCTCTAATATTTGGGCTAATCGCAATTTATTTTCCTGTTTGACTTTAACAACGTTACGTTGAAATACTGGATCCTTCGCCCACTTCTTCAATTGTTCCAATTGTTCCAGATGAACTGTCCATTCGCTTCCGATTTTCTATAAATTATTAAAAATCACAAAATCATATACATATAAAAGATATGCATATGTGTAAGTTATAGTTATAAAAACCATTTGGATCGAACTTCGATCGAAACTGATAACTTTTTTATAACTCTTTCTTAAGATAAATCGTTAGTGAAACTTTACAAACTTTATTTTATGGTATCGGAACCATAAACAAATCGATAAAATTAATTTACAGTTTCTTCAGTATTTAATATATAGTTTGTTATTTTAATGTTTTTATTTATTTATAAAAATCAAGCATTTCTGAAAACTAATAGAAAATTAAAAAAAAAAACATTTTTATTTTTTATTTTACTTGATAATGATGTTAATTAAAATAATTACAATTAAATAAATCGTGAATCTAGAATCAAATTGGAATATTGTTTTTAATTTAGATTCCTGATTAAAATAATACTTTACATTGAATACTAACTTCTTCAATTATATCAGACAGATTTGGATTACAAAGTAGCAGCCATCTTCTCGGTGTGATACCGTTTGTTTTGTTTTGAAATTTCTCCGGGTTCAGTTCGTAAAAGTCTCGGAAGCTAACAAAAGAAAGCTATATTAAACATTCCAATAATCTTCTCAAAACATTGTCAGATTCATTAAGAAAATTCTACATACACACTGTCTTTGAGAATTTCTGAATGAAGACGAGCAACTCCGTTTATAGCATGACTACCAACAATTGACAGATGAGCCATATTGACTCTCTTTTCGCCTTCCTCTTCTATCAAAGACATTTGACGAATACGATCCATGTTACCAGGCCATTTAGCTGCGACATTTTGAAGATGCAAGTGATTTATCTCATAAATTATCTGCAAATGCCTTGGAAGAATACTCTCCAACATATGGGTAGGCCATCTTTCTAATGCTTCGGGAAGAACCGTGTGATTTGTGTAGGCACATGTACGTGTAGTAATGTCCCAAGCCTAAAAATAAGATATTTCAAGATATCTGTTTTTCGTATAATAAAGATATTAATTCTGTTACTATCGCTGATGCGTTATTAAGTAATACATTTAGATAAAAGTCAGAGAAATTGACAAAATCAGTCACCTATAGACTTACAATATATGTATCAAATTACATTAGATATACCAATGATAATTTTAAATAGTTGCAAAGTTATAAATTAAAATATTAATTAATTTTACATAAAAAATACGAATATACATAATTGTGTATGAAAAAGTGCAACTGCACATTGTAAGTTGTGATTTTATTTGTGTTTTAACAAATTTTTAAAATATCTTTTTAATATATAGACAATATAATCTCATATAATGAACATACCTCCTCCCAAGAGAGTCTTTCAACATCAATAAGAATTCTCATCAGCTCGGGAATAGCTAGGGACGGATGCGTATCATTGAGTTGAATAGCTACTTTATCAGGGAAAACACTAAAATCAGTTCTATGATGCTCCCTTGAACCAAATTTGCTAGATTTATATCTTCGGATGATGTCTTGCAAAGTAGCAGCTACCATGAAATATTCCTGCTTCAATCTGAGCTCTTTGCCTTCAAAGAAATTATCGTTGGGATAAAGAACTCTAGAGATATTCTCCGCTAGATTACGATCAATCACCGCTTGTATATAGTCTCCGTCGTTAACTGAAAGAGAATCAGTAATATAAAAAAAGATTTAAAAGCTATTGTCGTATCATGGAAACTTATCGAGATTCGATACTTACAAAATTTCAAATTAAATTCTATAGGCGACTTTGCGGACCACAGCCTCAATGTATTAACAACATTATTTTTGTAGCCAGGAATTGGACTATCATACGGCATGGCAAAAATAACCTGTATTAATAATATTAAATAAAATATCATAATTATTATTAAAGATTATTTATACGAGATATCCCAAAATCATCGGATATTCATTTATATATAGGTATATATATATATATATATACATAATCAGAGATTTTCTATAAAATTTGTAAATTTTTTAAATTAAAACATCAAAAAATTTATTACTTTATTTCTAACTTGTGCATTCTTTAGAACAAGCTTTGAATTAAAATTCAGTTAAAATATAGTGTTAACGTGAAACTAATTGTAGGTATAATTTTGTTATATTTTTTCTTGTAAGATTTTTAGCTTTACATTTTTCAATTAATTGTACTAAAACTCAAAAACATTATTGTACTAAAACTATAAATACGTCAACGTTTTGAAAAAGAAATCAGTTCAAATTGCAGGATTGGGTAACAGTTACCATGATGATAATTTCATGTATGGGTTGAAATGCTTGTTTAAATACATAAATTTTGTTTTCTAATGGATTGAAGTAATCTAATTAGCTTTTAACCTCTTAGTTTATGATTGTATAACTATTTAATTATTTGAGCCGTTATTTCTTATGTCATCTTGTTCACTTTCTTCTTTTTAAGTCAAAGTTTTTATCTATAAATATTATTATAATATATAAATATTATTTTCTGTAAAAAATATTCACCATTAGAAAATTTATAGTTTAGGAAAACCTCAATTGTGTTATGGGCACGACACTCAATGCTAAAAAATAAACATGAGTTGGATCTATATTTAGAGAACGCTATTACATCATGCTCATTTTACGTCCAACCGATAAAAAAAGAATATAAACTTTTCATTTCAATATAAGTATATTTTCAAAAAACATGAGGCCAACACAAAGAAAAAATATAAGATTATTTACATCTTTTAAAATTACATTTCATTTTACTTCATCTTTTTATAATATCAAAACCTGAAAATATCTAATTAAAAAATCAATTTTTTATTGTACAACAAATATTTTTATTTCATATAATTTATTATAAAATATTAAATGTATATGTGTAAATTAATGTGATCTTTAAAAATATTGATATTCTGATTTAATAAAAATAATTTTTTCAAAATTTACTTTTTATTTCACTGAGTTAATTCTGTCTTAATGTAATTTTAGCTAAATTAATTTTTTTTGTTCTTTCAACTTTTATAAGTTAACTAAGTGTGCCTTCCAACAAGCGACACAGTACGATACAGTGATTATCCCTTGTTTATCATTGGCGAACAACAAAGACGTACTGATACACTGTGCCGTGTCGCTTACTGGAAGGCACCCTTAGTTAACTTACAAAAAAGTTGAAAGAACAAAAAAAATTAAGTTAATTTTATAAGTTATTAACTTTAACTTAATTTAATGTAAAAAACATTACCCAACCATGCTAAATTGTTTGTGATATATGTGATCAAGCAATATTTAGCAATATTTTGAAACACATTTTGTATGTAAAGTATTATGTATTAAAATGATTTATTACCTGTGTATTCATCCACTTTTTGCCCTCCGAAGTGTCAATCACATGACCATAAAAGTTCACCGGCAACATAAATTCTGGTCGGGCTTTCTCCCAAGGATTGCCATATCTGAGCCAATCATCGGGCTCCTCTATTTGCTCACCATTTTTTATTTTCTGTGCGAATATACCATACTCATAACGTATACCATATCCGTAAGCCGCTAAACCTAATGTGGCCATACTATCCAAAAAGCAGGCAGCTAGACGGCCTAATCCTCCGTTACCGAGTCCAGCGTCTTCTTCAAGTTCTTCCAACTCTTCTATATCCAAACCCATCTACGATAAATAGTTACATAAAATGTTAAGAGAGTTATATATGACTAAGATAATCTATTTCCTAAGCACAAATAGAAAGATGGTAAAGAAGTAAAATTAATTTTTAAGATCATGAACACAATTGATTTTAGTGATGTTCTTAGAACATAATGTACGTATAATATCGCTGATATTTATTCTCAACAAATAAAGTATCTTTATTATATAATAATTCCATCTATACGAAGATTTATTTTACACTTATACCATACATATGATCATGTGAGAGTGCATACAGTGCAATATTTTGTGTCGGTGATAACAGAACTGTCCTACGTTCAATATTGTACATACTCGTACGTTACAGGCGAATGATTTTTTTTACCAACATTTTGAATTAATTAAACGCGCGCGTGCGTTAAATGTTTATACCTAAAAACCTACTTTACGAAAAAAAAGGTTACACTTTTATTGCTTATTTTTTCACAAAGTTTTACGTTGCAATAATAAAATATCCTTGAATTTCGATCTATATAAATTAAATTTTTTAATTAAAGCATATACTTACAATTAGATGCATTTCTCAAGAAAAATTCGAAATTGAAAAGGGAAAAATATTAAAAAGCATAAGAGAGAGAAAAAAAGTATCTATTGCGCTGTCACTAACATTGATTCTTTGAAATCTGTAAAGCAAAATATGTGAATTTTGTAAAATCGCTTTAAAGGTATTACCTACTTGTAGTAGTACCTTTAAAAATACTACAACGATTTCGACAATTAAGAAAAAAAAACAATTTTTTATACATTCTAGATATCAAGTATTTTTTTTCTCCTGTATAAATAAATATAATGATACTTTGACCAATAAATTACATAAAATTTTTGTGTGAGCCGTATAATTATACCTTATTTAATAAATAGTAATATAAGTATCTGTAATAAAATATAATTATTAACTTATAATACTGAATCGCTTTGCTGGAGAATTCTTTTTGTATATAATATTAAAAAATAATATACTTAATAAAATAGGTTCTTTTTTATTTTACGTTACCTTTTTCACTGATAAAATAAACTGCAATGTTCATAAAACGCTGATATTTATAATGATGTCAAAACACGAAAATAATCCGCAAGTTGCGTAAATATTTTTTAAAAATAATTCATTTATTTCAATTATTTTTGGAAATAAAAGGAATTGGTCTTTAGAACGTGTTATTTTTTATATACTTTTTATTATACATATATATTTACATAAATTTATTTAAATAAAAGCACTTTACCTGATACATAGCTTCGTCGCATGCTCCTTGTATTCCTAAATTGATCATTGTATTTTGTAGCGATCTTCCCATATAATATTCCAAAGACAAATAATATACTCTCTGAAAAAAAGTAAGATTTGCAATATAATAGAAATATCCTATTTGACTTAAAAATTAGGGGAGAGTGGTCTAAATCGGACTTATTTGCAGTTTTTGTTCTTTATAAGGCGTAAATAAAGCCCAAAACCAATGGTGCCGTTTGAAAGATCATTTAATTTCCTTCATTTTTGCTTTAGACCATTTTGACGTATCTCTTACTTGTGTCGAACAATAATGAAAGTGTAAAAATGCATTTTCCGGTCCGATTTAGAACCATGAGTTCCATTTATATGGACTTTTAGATAGAATTTTAAAAGATTTTAATTAATTTTTGTCAGTATTGAGTAAAAACGAACAAATTTTACAATAAACTGCAAAAGTAATCACAAAACTCTTGATATTTTTTAATTCTACAGTCTTCAATTATCTTAAATCAATTACCGTTTCAACTTTTTAACTCCTTTTAAATAATAATTTACAAGGATTTGTTTTTTTTTTTTAAATTTTCGCATGATAGCCAAAAATACATATTTGCGTTTATTCTATGAACATTATGACGGAGTACTGCTAAACTGCTGTCACATGTTCAGTGTCTTATAAGGACTTTACATTATAAATAGCACGCAAATCTGCTTAACCGTATTTATTTAAATTAAAATGGTCCGATTTGGAACACGGTCAGATTTAAGACATTCTCTCCTATATTATAAAAACATCGTGTAATGCCATATGTAATGACACGTATAGATTTTCAGTACTGGCAGTCAATTTTGGAACACAGCCCTGTAGCGGAATTCTCTAAATGTCTTATCGCTATCGTTAACTAGTTACAGCCGATAGCAGGACTATCCTAAAAGAAAGCGCGGCTCTCATTGGCTGACGCTAGTTAACGATATAACAATAATTATCAAAAGAACGTTTAAAGAATTCCGCAACTGATATCAATAATTGGCGCTAAGTTGTAATCTCAAAAAATTTTCGTTGACTTAACTCACGTATTTTACTTAATCCAAGTGATACGTATTTATAGTTGTATAAAAGATTGTGTAAAGAACAAGAGACCCCGCTCCGATGACCTTGACACTTATTATCAAGATCATGATCCTGAGTAACCTCCGACACAAATTTTACCCGTCGGTCATTATGTTTGTTAAAAGGTTATTCATAAAAAAAGTTTATTAAGTAATGTCTTATTTCTGCTACATATCATACAATGTTAAGAATTAATGTTAAAAATTATTCCAAACCATCTCTTAATGATTTTCCACGCAAAACGAGGTCCATTCCACTTTCCCTCATCCCATCTCGTCAAGGGGCTCTCATGACTATATCTACGCGAAGCGAGATATCATCCTACACAAATAAGATTTGGATTTGATTATTCTTTTTAAACCTCGCTTCGTGTAGAAAATTGTCGCGTCGCAAAGCGAGGATTTAGAATATCAATTTTTTGGGATTATACTTTGCGCTATTTATTGATATCAAATTTTTTATATGATTAATACTTGTCATTTGGATTCAGTATTTGTATATTATTTAGGTTGAATAAAGTATCAATTTTTATAAAATTATACTTTACGTCAGTTATTGATATATTCTTTTAACTTGATACAACTTTGTTCAAGAAACATGTATTCTTAGCGCCTTTTCTTAGAAAGATAAATTTTTACTGCCTTATAAATTACAAAGATACGTATATCATGTTTCCCCCTTAAACATCTTCTAAAGACTTAATAATATTAAATAGTAGGTACTATGTTAGAATATAACACATTTCATAAAAACGACCTCTTTTTAATATAGATATAAGAAATATTGAGTTAGGGGGAGGAGAAAACAAAAAACTTCAATGATTTCATTCAATTTTACTAATTTTTGTATTTTGCGGAACGCTGATATTTAATCAGCAATTAATAATTTACCTGGTCAAAAAAAAGAACTAAAAACTTACGATTATTTTATTACTTCTTGTGATATGTTCTCATGAGGCTGAATAATTTTCCTTCTTTAGTCTTCTAAAAAACTTCATTTTCTTTAAATAAAAAATCTTTCTTTCATAAATGTTTCACTTAAAACTAATGCATTAGAATATTAGATCCTTTACTTTCTCCTTCAAGCCTCGAATCCTTCTATTATATTTGTGTTAGAATGGTTATCTTTACGAAATACGTTTGCATTTCATACGCAGAATAAGAACAATTGATATAAAACACAAAAATCTTCAACAAAAAAATGCAGTTACGTATTTTTTCTTATTTATATACATATTTTATTCATATTGACTGATTAATCATAATCATACTTTCGTACGTAGAAGAGTTAAAATAAGATCACTAAAAATAAATATTTTACATACATATTTAAAATTATTAAATAATTATTATACGTATATATTACACAAGACGTATAGCTTTTATCTAAATTAATATAAAAGTATTTCAGATGTATAAAAATACATATATGTAGATACGAAGCACATTACGTAGCATACTATTATTGATAAATTGCATTATCTAATTTTTAATGCTCTTCGTTTTCTTAATGAACTGTAATCGGCTTATGAACTATAAAAGACTTCCTATTTGCATACGATTGCAAAATATTTCTGATATGGAAAATAATGCAATTTGCATATAAAATTTTCAAATTCATTTAAAACCTTATAGATTATTTTTATTGAAAAAAATTTTGCTATAGAATAAATATCGATTTAGAGGTGTTGTCTTTTTATTTGTTGTGCTTAAACAATCTAATAGTGCTTGCAAAAAATATAATAAAAATAGACGTGATTTTTTTCTTAATAAGTATTATCTTCCATTAAACGAATATCGAATATCTCTCCAAATCCTTAATTTTTTATTATATATTAATAGTTGTATTCAGAACGTTTTTATCTCTGATTCTATAGTGTGCAGTCTAAAGACTATGGCACACAAAATCTTAAGCAGTAAAATCTTAAGTAGTAAGCGAATTAACTAATTAGTCTGAGTCCACAATCTCGCTTTAAGAGGCCCTAAGTTGTAAAACCGTAAGAAATTGATCAATCACAGTCGATTATTTTCCTCGCATTCAGCTATGATTGGTCAATTTCTTAACCCGGATTTACAATAGAGTTTTAAGCCTTAAGCCATATAAAATGGACGAATCATAACCGATTATTCTTCTCGAATTCGACTGTAATTAGTTAATTTCTTACGGCTTAAGGCTTAAAACACGTATTGTAGATTCGGGGTTACGCGGCTTCTATATCCACACAAACTTGCATAACCGCATAAACGTATGCAAAATAAAAATTATCCAATCACATTTTACGTGCATCTCTATAAGGGAAATGCGATTGGATAATTTTCATTATGTATGCGTTTATGCAGCTATGCAAGTTTGTGTGGATATAGCTTTTAGGGCTTCTTAAAACGAGATTGTGGACCCAGCCTCACAGTAGAGTTCATAAGGCCATAACGTGCGTAAGCAGCACTCAATCCAATATGTTGATTTCTTTACTGCTTACGTCTTACTGCCTTCAGGTACATTCACATGCAATCATCAAGCAGCGGAAACAGCAGCCAATCAGCGAGGCGATATGGTTAGTGGGGAAGAAAATATTTTTTACGCCACTGCTCATATCGCCTCGTTGATTGGTTGCTGCTTCTGCTGCTTGCATGTGAATGTACCTTTAAGTTTTTTGTGTGTCATAGCCTTAAGGGGGCCTTGACATACAAAAAAACTTAAGGCAGTAATGCCTGGTTTATGCTTCAATCCCAAGATCCTAAAATTCAACCAATAAAGCTGCCAGTTCTAACCAAAATGTGAACTCTATTGGCTGAATTTTAGGATTAAGACCGAAGCATAAACCAGGCATAAGACGTAAGCAGTAAGGAAATCAACAAGGAAAAGCTTAAAACACGTATTGTAGTTTCGGGATAATGGGCCTTGTACAATATAAGTGATAGGTTATAAATTATAAGCTAGAAATGGACCAATCACAGTCGTCAGTTTTTAGTTTCATACTTCTGATTTATGACTGATGGCTTATTGTAAAAGGTCTATAAGATTTAAGCCTTAAAATCTCATTGGTTGCAGACTCAACTGTTGCAGAGCAAATCCGTGAATGCTCCAATAGCAGCAACCGCTCCTCAACAGTTGAGTCTGCGACCATTATAAACGCCGCTTAACGTGAGTTATACATGTTAGCGCGCTAACATGACTGTAAGCGTGTTCTGAATACGAGCCCAAGTCTTTTTAGCGAAATTTTTTGCACGATTTATCTCTTCTTTTTTTTTCTCTCAACTTGGAGAAGACAAGAGAACAAATAAAACAGTGCAAGTCAATTGAAAAAGACTTATAAAAGACTATTAAAACCCGGTTCAATCAATATAAGTTTATTCGCGTCACATGCTCCAACATGCTTTGAAGTTTCGATATGTTTCTATCATAGATTTGTTTGTATTGCACTTTTAGCATGTTCGTTTTTCTCTTTTCAACGTCTGAATATCTCGTTTTAAGTGCAAACATTTTTGGGGATTTTAAGCAACGCGGACAAAATTCATGGTCTACCATAGCTCCTACTCACACTCGTTTGGAAACTTGATGCAAAATGAATTTTAATCCTGGTCCAATTATCCTTTTCTAACTTGATGAACGAAAAAAAGATAAACGTTAAGTTAAACCGAGATTTACATATCAATGTAAAATATCAATGCCTAAATAACAGAAAATCTTAGCTTAATCAATTGTCAAAACAGAGAGAAGTAATAAAGAGATTCATATGATTTGAAATAGAAACATAACAAATGAAAATCGACCGAGAAAATAACGAAATCTGCAGAAAGTCACACCGGTTTAAAGTCTAATTATACAAGACATAAATGAGTACCTTAGGATCTTTCTCGTAATAATGCTGCTGGGTGCGAATCCATCGCGATACGAGATTGTCCTTGACACTATGGGCCAAGGCGAAGAAATAATCGCGACTCGTGGCGACATTACGATCCTTCACCAGGGTGTAGTGAAGATGCCTGTTAAAGGTTTTCTTAAAGTTCCCAACGTTCTCAACGTCAACAATGCCACGCACCGAAATCTGCTTTCTCTTTTCATGATCGCTGTTCGGAAGTGACATGACGGCGGCGATTAAATCGTCTCGATTGCGACTAGGTACGACTAACTGTGACGATAACGTAAATACAATCCACACGACGCGGATCGCCAAAGGCGAATGATATGCACTGCCACTGTTCGCGAAAGGCAATGTTCACCTTGCTTCAAGGTGACGCATGCGCTCGAACAAACGTATTTATGCGTACTTACATACACGTGGCGGCAACAATTTGAATCGAATGGTACGTTTTCATGAATCCAGCTGTTTCAGCGACAAAGATAAGTGATGACTTTGGCTGCGTTTAGAAATATCACCCATCTTATTCTTTATTGTTAAAAGACTCCATGGTGACCAATAAGCCGCTTAAATATGCATTCAATAGTGTCAAGCCATCTCAACACTAACTAAACTGGAGCAACGTTTCAGATCTTAAGATCTATCTCTAAAATGATTTTTATTAAAAAACAATCCAACCCTTTAAACAAAGTAACACAGAAAAATTATTCGATACATACCTTCCTCTCTTAAACGTCACCTCTCTCACTATACTTTCCTAACTTCTCCTTCCTCAAACTCACAATAATACTCAATAATACTCAACGAGTGCGTTCGTTTATGCAGTCAGATGTCGTTTGTTTATTCCAATTGCGAAGATAATTGCAGCGCAGTTTGTCGTTCGCAGGGATGTATACCATATCTGCGCGCAGTTATCTCCCTGCTCAGAATGTTCAGCTCGCAGTACTACACACTATACTGCGTAGTGTCAACTTCACAGGTTGAATATCACACAGATATGACAAACAATTTAAATTAGTCTATAAATTCTCATTTCAATCAATAATTTAAATTATTGTCTTATAAAAGTTTCGAAATAGTTGTGTCGAAAAAATCTGCACCCAGATCATTTATAACAAGACTTTTGTTTTCAACAAAACACTATTCTCTAAATTCTTACAAATAGTCACTTTAATTAAAGGAACAAAACTCTGACAACTTCAAGACTCTTATCAAAACATTTTAATCTTTAATGTCTGTGTCTTTAAATCTAATGTTTTAGTAACTTTATACTTGTAATAGACAGCGGAATATCCATAACAAAAAAGAAATTGTAATTGCAAGTATCTCGCTTATGTAATAATGTACTGAAGATGGCTTAATCAAGGCCAAAATTTATCTATTAATACTAATCTTATCTATTAATATTAATCTTATATCTATTAATATTATTAAATTAATAGATTAACATATTATTCGCCAATATAATCAAGCGAATGTAGTTCAATGCTCTCTCTTATTATTGGTTTTAAATTATTTAAATAATTAAAGCCGGCTATTACTACTAAACATTAACAATAAATAAAATTAAACTGTTATATGTATATTTATATATAAATAATAATATAAAAATTATATATATAATTAATATTTTAAATTATATTAAATAAATTACACCGCGCGCGCGTCACAGTCATGGTATACAACGCTGGTCTACTGATTAGATAGATAGATGACATAAAGTCAAAAGCTGTCAAAAGCCCTCTATTATCGAAAAAACGAATAGAACATTCCAAGTGATCGACAATGACAATAATAATAATAACAGACGACGTAGTATCTGAAAATCTGATGTGACAAATCCGGACTTTGCGTCGCGATATCTCCGCTCGTAGGGCACGTAGAAAAAAAATAATAGCACTTTTATTATACAATTTAAGTAGTGGCTATCAATTGAGCGTATACAGAATCTGATCAGAGTTCAGCCGTTATTGAGATCCGAAAATCTCAGTCTGTCGCAACTTGCCGGCTCAATAGTCACGGTAGTGTTGCTGCGTTTGGCTTAGCGCCGAGACACTACCGTGTCTCCTGCAGATTTGATTGCGCAACATACAGTAGAGCTGTATTATTGTAATTTTGATGTTAAACAGAAAACATTTGTTTTTATTTAGTCTAACGTTCAGATTAAAATTTCTTATTTTCCTAATTTCATCGAGCACCACCATATTTTCTTACATATACATTTTTTATTTCATTAAAATTCTTTACTTTGTACGTCCTTAATTCTTTGTAATAATCCTTGGGTTGAGTAACGATATTTTGTGATATAAAATTTTTTAAAATGATTAAATAATATCACACACACTTGGGGTGGAATAGAAAGAGTTTTGTATAGTTAAGTATATATACTTTTAATTCGATTTTTTAAAAGTAATTGTATACAATTAGTGCAATTTTAATGTTTTGTCATCAATCATTTTTGGAAAATACATACAATATTTTTTGGAATTAAACTTAACATCAGTTATTGTATACGTATCACTTGGAAAATATTATTTTTATGAAATTATAACTCTTGGCATTAGTTTTTTTATATCAAACCTTTTATACAAATGACACATATTACTTAAATTTTTTATTTACCGTACTGTGTGTTTTGGTTAGAACAGTGTATTCATATTTGATGTCCTTTCTTTTTATATATCGATTCTTTTTGAAAAATAAATTCTTTACTCAAAGTTTAGAAAAAAAAAAAACTTGTATACAAAACGTCTCGTATTCGAAACTAAAAAATCCTATTATAAATTTACCATATTAAGATTTCATATAAAATAAATATTGAATACATTAGGTTATCAGAATTCATTAGGAAAGATATCTCAAATATACAAGAGATAATATACAGGATAAATACGAAAAGAACAGCGATTATTTTTACTTAATATCATTTATTTATAAATTAATGCGGATGCGAATGCAGATGCAATAATGAAAACGACAAGAAGCATATTATGTATGTTATAATTCACATTCTTAACATTTTGATATCGGTCCCGATAAAAACACGTGTTCTAATAATTGTAGTTATTATGATATAAAGTTACGTCTTTATCGTTTACCATTCAATATGTTTCGTGCCTTGGTTTCATTTAACATCACTTTCTTCGATAATTGTTCTTTCCATTCATATGCACACATGCGCATTTGTACACATATACATACGTACATTATACATGGGCATATGCATATACGATGTGTGTGTGGTGTGTGTATATATATATATATATATTTATTTATTTGCGAGTGCGTACATAACGATATAATTACAATTAATGATGCAGCAGCAATAATATTATGCAAACGTCAACGTTATTAAGAGACAGATACAATATACACGTTTCTGCATAATTTAATTCATTATTAAATCTCCATTTAATTCTCTCAAACACAACAACTTAAAACATCAAGATGTTAGGGGATATCGCTGTAAATTAGATAATTATAAGATCTTTAAAGTCACTGACGAATAAACTCTATTTATATGTTGGACATATCGTATTCGCCACACGTGTCTATTCTAAATCTTTAAAGTATCACTATCTCTCGACATCCCCATTTCTCATTGTATCTTGTCGTAAAATGATTATTTTCGCGGCGTTCGATCCGCGAAACAATGATCCAAGCGAAATACGACGTTCCGACGAAGACAGGACTAAGATAAATCACATACAGCCTTATTATTCATTCTCTCTCACATATTCATAAAACATTCATTCTACTTTTTTATTTTCTCGTTTGCTTTTATACTTCTCTCTCTTCGCGAAGAGAAAAACAAACGACATCATCGAATAGATCAAAACACGAAGTTTATGATAACCATAAAACACATTTGTCAAATAGTACGACGAAAAAGAAGGAAGGGAGAGACGAAGGGCTGATTCCTTGAAAGCAGCCCCGCGTACATTGCATTGTTTGCTGGTTAAAACCATGCCGTCGCTTTTTACCGTAATAATAAACGATTAATTAGTTACTAAGTGTTATTTTTCTTTTTCTTTCTTCGCTCGCGGTGTTTACTTCCTCAATAAGAATTGCTTTCGTGATTAGAATGTCGATGTACGCGTGCACGATCCTTACCAATCTCAAAAAATTGATATTCTTCTCCGAATGGCCAAGCTCTCGCAAAAAACTCACCGTTAATAATTCCCATCTCCCGCATGATTACAAGGTTCAATCCTCGTTTTCATAATGCAAGTATCCTCTTCGATCGTATATTAGTTTTCTTGCACGCGCTTTCAAACTCTTCTTTCATTTTTCACGTTTCTTTCGTTTACTTCTAACTTAATCCTTTCTATATTTGCTGACTCAGCTGTTCGTTGGATTGTTGCCATTCTGACTTTTTCTTATTCTTCCTTCATTGGCTCAGTCTTTTTGCCAAGAGGGATTGCCGCCTTCACTCTAAAACAATCAAGTAATTGATTTTTAAGAAATATTAATTTCAAGTCAAAGAATAATATTAGTTTCAATTCTTATAAAATAAATAAGTGAACAGAGCCATATTCAGTCATGGTAGGGCTTGGTACCTAATAATATGTAAATTTTTACAATTTTCCAGTGCAAATAAACTGCGTCGATAATTTGTTTTATTATAAATTTTCTCTATAATGAATGCATTCAGTACTACCGTTTACTAAGCGTTCTTGCACTTATTTGAATTATATTTTTGGATACAATGAAATATGTCGATCTTAAATGTAAGAGCTCACTTGAGCGCTCAGTAAGCGGTTGTAGTACTGCGGTTATAGCGCACCCATTATATTGTACATATAATTACAAGTAAACTCTGCATACGCATTCAAATAAATTTTTTAACTACAGATTTACATAGTAATAAAATATATTTTAGGGCAATAGATAAGAAACAAATTTATGCGTAATAAAAAAGAAAATTATTGCATTATATATACATGAACTGATACACTGTTAATAATTGTTGTAGGATAGCGAATTTTGTATAATGAATATATCTGTATTAAATTTTTGTAACATTGAAAATGACCCGATCGGATTCGAAACGTTTATTTGAATTGTAGCTACATATTATTTGAATTAAAGGTTTATATTATCGACTCTTTGCCCTTTTTTATTTTGATTTGTTTCTTACTTATATAGAGCCTTATATTAACTATTATTTTTATTACATTATTTCTCTAGATAAAAAAACTTTGTAAAATTTTTCATAAATTGAGGAAATTTTTGCTTAACTTACTTAGTGGTAATTTCACTGATCTTTGTCTGTACCAAGGCCAAATTTTGATCGATCTGCTCCTGATTCGTTTCATAAACCTTAGGCAGTGTGAAGAGAGCAACCACTCCTGAAAGATAAAGTGACCCGATTGTTAAATTAATTCTATGCATGGTGGTAAAATTTAGAGTAATGTTGTACAATTTACCGATTATAATAAGAGTCATGCCATTGAACCAAGAACCAACGTAAGTGAGACACCATAACAAAACGACAAATTTAAGAGAATCGATGAAATCTTCAACGAGGAAAAGTCTGCGCAGTTCAGTAACAGCTGCATTAGCATGTGCAACTGCAACATCTGCAACTTCATGCACTTTCTCGGCTGGTAATGTCAGATCCAGATCAAGAATGTCTCTGCAATATAAATAACGGTTTAATTAAAGTAAAGATTATCGTAAAGAGATTAGCTAGATTGTTTCAATATTTTAAGTATTTAAATATTATATTAACTTTTTACTTTATATGCATTTACATATATTATTTTCAATTTTAGAAAAAATTTCAAACAAATTTATGAAGGCAAATAAATAATAATAAAATCAATTTTCGAAAAAAATGATTAGCTAAATTAATATTATTATCAAATTGTTATTATAAAACAGTAAAAGTAATAGCGTTGTTATACTGGTATTTCCTGGAAATTACGTAGAATTTACTTAGTTACATTCGTATACTATCAATTGGCTGTATCACACATAGTCCGTTTTTAATCAAATAAAACTTTAAAATTATAATGAAAGATAATAATAATTGACTCGTATGATTTAAAAATCTTTGAAAGTTTAAAGCCTAATCGAGTCTTGAAAACAAGATGTTAATGTTTATTATATTGTAAAATTATAAAACTATTACTCTCGATAGTGACATACTTACTCGCGTGTACAAATAAAGTGTTATTTTCTTTTCAATTTCTTACTAACTTATTTTAATTCTTATTTATAATTTTTCTATATGTGCACATACTTGCATCATTAAGAATACTTCAGTAGATGAACAATATCAATTTGCCATCGCAAAAAAATTACACAGATATGCGTACAACAGTTATATTTTTAAATTAAACAATACATATTGGAAGCTATTATTAATGTTGTCCAATATTTTGAAAGTCACAATAATTACTTTTCAATAAAATTATGCAATTATATTTATTTTGAAATTGTGCTAAAAAAATCGTTAAATTAAAAATCAACAAAATAAAGAATGCATACATGATGTTTAAAAAAATGTTTTATCACTTTGTACTTACTTAAATGGATGACCGTCCGAGGTCTTCTGGACTGCTTGAAGAACAGTTTTGTAGATACGGAAAAGAATGGTACCGCTAAGAACGGTAAGGGACACATAAGCCAGGACGCTAATCAAACTAAAATAGGCCAATGACAGGAGCACGCCCAGTATCGTGCCGAACACAGCTCCCGATTTTTTTGGATCGCGCCAGTATATCAGAGCTGCCACTGTAAACAGAAACAAAAAAGACGTTACAACAAAAGATAAAAAAAATCAAATTAATATCGCGTAAATATACTTTACTTAATAATCCTTAATTATTTTTCATTTAACATTGTTAGCAAATTAAGTCTATATTAGTTAGCACATATGTGATCTCTGTTTTTCTTTTTATAATGATAAATATCACTTCTATATTGCACAACAATTATATCCTTCATTTAAAAATCAAATTCTTCAATTAATCTTAAATATTATAAAATTAATTCTTCATTTCAATAAAAATTTTTTTAAAAATAAAATTTGTAACGTAATTATTAATAAAGTTAACATCGCGATGTTACCTTTATTGACAGCTCCGTTACAAATTTTATTTAGTAAAAAAACTTAAAGATATTAAGACATTTTCCATCTCGATTGACAATATTAGTTAATAGTAAAGTGACTAGATATCTAGTTTTTCCTAGATACATACTCCTAGATATATATTTTTTAACTACGTGTAGTTCGAGGATGTCCGGCCATTCTGGTCGGATTTCAGTGTCCGGGGTGTACACTCTTTTTCGGTATTTATTTTGAGAGAGAGTGATGAATCAAGAGATAATATAAGTCCATGAAATATATGTATAGTAAGTTAATTACTATAGATCATTAATATATGTATCTGTGATAAAATATGTGAAAATAATTAGGTAATATATTATACAGGGTGTTCTATTTTAAATAGTGCATTAAGATTCCTCAAGAACTGTGGTAGATATGGAAAAATATTTCAAACAAAACTTGTATGGTTCAGAAGAGGACATAAGAAGATACCATTGATTTAATTTTGAGTGGCGTAGGTAAGGTCATGTTAAGGTCATATTGAATTTTTTAAATGGAATCCCCATTTTTTATTACATTTTCTCGTAGCTTACCTGAACAACTTTTCGAAACACTATAATAATATTCTTTTCCATTAAAAACTTTAGTTATTTCGGTACCACTGGCGTTAGCAGTACCCTAAGCTGTCCGAACGACAGCTAAAATCTTTGGAACGTTGTTTAGGGATCATTATTGGATAACATTTGTCAAGTTTATTGGAGATTATTCCTCTTATTTTCATTTTTGCGTTAAAAATTCATTTTTACGTTGCAGAATTTGCGTCTTTGTGTGTAAAGGGCTGCGCAGAATAAAAGAAACAGAGAATAAGAATTTCAACCTATCAGAAATCATATACTGTGGAATACACAGTTCCTGATAGGTTGAAATTCTTATTCTCTGTTCAAAATTTTTATGTGGTACAAATTAGTACAAAATAAGTATTAAAAATTCCAATAAGAAAATTCTGATTTGATTCTGCACATTTAATCATTTAATTCCAGCTTTATAGAACTTTTGCTACGCAAATTCTCTGATCTTCTGATCATATTCGAATTCAGCGCGTAAAAATACATAATCACTAGTACATCTTTAAAAAAAATCTTGTAGAGGGCTGTGTAATTAGAGAAATCATATTATAAAGAAAACCGTACAATTAAAAAAAAATCGTAACCTTCACATAAAAATCGATTTTTTCTAAAATTAATTTTACTGTTCTTACCTTTCATACATGCAATTTATCTGTTCGAAATGTTTATTGCATCGTCCATATTTTTTAAGATATTTGCCTGTGATAATTAAAATTAAAAGACATCTTGTATAAAATCACGCTAAACACAAAAATATTTTTTCTACATTTTTACGATATTTTTTTATATTTAAATATTAAACTAAAAAAAATTTCAATTTTTTAAAATTTATTAAGCTACAATCATTTGTAATTTGAATCAAAATTCACAAAACAGAATCCTATTCATAAATTGTGTATTTTAAATATATATCTTTATGTATTAAATATATATTATGCATGTATTCTATTTTTAAAAATAATTTTTACTTATGAGATACGTAAAATTATGAACAATCCATTGTGAATTTATCTAAATTATCTAAAACAGATAATTTAAACTCGATTAACGATACACTTTTTCTTGAATATATATTACAGAAAAAAGTTTTTATAATCATGATATGAAAAGAGTAAGGCTAGTATTACCAACCATATGTTCCCGGATCGCCAGCATTTCAGACTAACTATACACTTCCGCAATTGTAGAGGAGCACAGAGCTTACCAGAATTGCGCTCCGGGAGAACTTGCACATGTCCTCTCTGAATATTTCTTCGTACCATCTTTATAAAGTGTCACGGAGATCTTTAGAGAGGGTATCTGCACGGTCAGTAGTTACACACAATTCCAGTATTATTCAGTTCAGGATACAGCCACGCGGAGAACAGCCTCACTGAAGATAAAGGAAAGGGAAAGAAAAAGAGGGGGAAAGATCGTACGGGAAGAAGCTGGCAAACAGGGACGTAACTATCCAAGCGATCGATTCTCTCTCAAAATTGAACAGAGCTGCTTTAAATTTTGATGCAAAATTTGTTATATTACAATATTTCAGTCAAATGTTGAAAATGCAAAAATTTTTTGCCAACAAAATATGATGGATTAGTAACAGAAATCGAGAATAGAATTCGATGCCAATAATTAGGTCTGTGGTTGAACTAGTGCACGTTTTTGAAACTTAAAGTGAGATATGTTTGTCAAAAGCGAGGAAGAGTTCTAATGCAATCTAGTTGGTCTAGTACAGACCGATTGTCATCAAGCCGGAAACACAATGAAAGCACAAGTAGTAATAAGGAATAAGATATTTCAACCAATCAGAAACTATGTATAATAGAATGGACACTTCCTGATTGGTTGAAATCTCTTATTCCGTTTTTATTGCCTGTGCTTTTTCTTGTGTTTCCAACTTTACATTTGCACTGACGACATCGTTACCAACCTGAATAGTTAAATTTGTTGGAAATAGATTTTGCGAAATATTATATTTATTATGTTTCATATTAATAATATATTGTATTTGTATCAGAAATGTTATTCATATTTACAATGAGTTTAAAAAATCGATAAAATTTTGATTTTGACTTTTAATTTCTCTCTAAAATAAAGTACAATAATTATAATAAAAACTTTCCTAACAATCAACTGCGTAATACTCGCGTACAATGGACTGTTTAAAAGTGATAAAATGACTTTGCCGCATTGCAGATCTGTGATACAGGTGTTCTATAGAAAGTAATTCTCTTACACTGAAAAAAAATCTGATTACATTAGGATAACTACGGATATATACGTCGCAATAAAAACTTAATAATATTATTTACCATGTTTGATTTATTTATGTAATTTGAGGTAAATGAAATGTACCAGTAAAAATTGTATTGTCTACTACTATAAAAAAAAAAGTATTAGAAATCCGAAATATTTATTTTTCGTAAAAAAAAAAAGAACTTTTTGAAATCCTTGAATTTTTACTGTATGTTCCATAGGGTAGGATATAAGGCTACTCATAGGAGGGGAG